AATATAAATTTTGAGTAAAAAAAAAGACACAAATCAGCAAATAAAATTGCAAACAATACTACTATATCACAGATAAGACTACATATAAAAGGAATGAATTCATTTAAATGACCTCATTAAAAACTACATTTTATATATACTTGTGTTCAACTTTACATGTATGCTATCCAAAGTTCGCACACTTGCAAAAGTCACATAAAGTCGTCTGTGCGTAAACCCAGGCTCTTGTAGCAAAGGTTTGGCCTTGAGCCCTCTTTATAGTCATAGCAAAAGCCAAACTTAGTGAAACATAAAGCCTCTCTAGAATGAAGCGAAAGTTGGTATCCGAAGCAGAGGAAAACTATAAAACTGAAAGCCAGGACAGGCATAAAAAGAAAATTCCAAGCATGTGAGGAAACAATTGATGAAAAAAAAAAAGGATTCCAAAAAAATACTGCAAAAAAGAAACCAGACACAAAAAGCAACAATTGAGTACACAAATACAGCATCAGCCTATTTATGAGAAGAAAAAAAAAGACAGACACAAAAATGGAGCTAAATTCAAATGAAAAACTATAACAAATTAATAAAAGAAAATAAGACCTAATCCAAATAATTTAATAAAAAAAACGGCACACACTATTAAATTATTTGGATTAGGTCTTATTAATGAGAAAAAAAAAAGATGCCAAAGAGAGATGAAAAGATGCCAAAAAAGATAACCAGATACAAAAATTGTGCTAAATTCAAATGAAAAACTATAACAAACACTTATAAAAGATAGAATAAAAGTAATAATTCAATCTACAATTCGAAAAATAATATAACCTGGTGAGTTCCCAGAAAAGGTTAACTTTGGTAGGCGGCGCTGTACGTTGACACCGCCGTACCTTCGAGCCGTTTTACACGAGTTCCCAGAAAAGGTTAACTTTGGTAGGCGGCGCTTTTCGTTGACACCGCCGTACCTTCGAGCCGTTTTACACGAGTTAAAGCGAAGATTTTGGACGTAGTGATTTTTACATTTCGATCTTTTATATTAATATATATATACTTACTATTTCGAATTATTTTTCTAAAAACGAACATTATTTTTTTTAATTATCTGAAATTAACCTAATTCAACTTATCTAAAACTAACCTTATTTAGCGATTAAACTAACATAATTTAACCTATTTGAATCTAACCTCATATACACTTTTACACTACCTTTTCATTTCAAAATAAAATTAAAATAAGTTTATATTAAATAATAACATTTTTAAAAATCGACTTTTGTATCTAATCAATTATGTATTTCTTTATTTCGCTCTTAAAAAGTACGCAATTCAAAACAAAGGAATTGATGATGATAAATGCAATAAATCTACGATTGTAAAATAGATTAAATTAAAAAATAAAAATAACTGTTAACATTAGGAAAATAAAAACAGGCCTATCATACGAAGAAAAAAATAACGAAAATTTTGGTATATAGATCGTTATGTGTAGTTCAGAATCTTCGGAGGAGATAGCTCAGGACTTTACAATGGAAAACTCTGTTACGGTATTATCTATATAGATTTTTCGACTGATTTTAACCTCAAATCGGAGGATTCACCACTTAAGAAACGAGGGCAACAGAGGACGTTGGACACCGATCTGTCTGGTACTGCCACCTAGCATCAGGACGTAGAACTATCTACCGTCGTTCCCAGGCCAACCGTCTATCATTGAAAAAAAATTATTGATTCTTCTAATCAATTGTTACAAAGGTGGAAAAAAATATATAATAAAATAGTAAATAAAGGGTAGATAAAATGTAGGGGAATATATATATATATATATATATATATAGTTGTGTATGTGTACAAATTTCTTGAGCAAGGAAAGCTTCTCCACCTTGAGAGAATCCTCCTCCAGACAAGGTCGTCTTGAACACTCCTCAGTTCCACGCCGAGGAAGTACTTGTAGATGTGTGCTTTGGCAGACGCCAGGATGGCCAGGGTGTCATCGTCTCTCATTGAAGAAAATCCAATTAAATTTCTCTTGGTTGCAGTTTAACAAGTTTACAGTATATCTCGTTTCAATGTAGAGTGAAACCTCTCATGAAAAATAAAGAAAAACGAACTGTGCAAGATGTCAGAGGTGTAAGGGTTGCGAATTGATTTTGAGACAAAATAATAAGGAACTACAAAATATTGTAATATAATTTATAACTTGTTAAATATAAAGATTATTTTTTCGTTGTATTATAGGGATCTGATACTTAATCTCCTTATTATGGAATGTGGGAGATTTTATCGGCGTGAGAATAGTTTGATATTTTATTACATAGGCACATATTTAGATTTTATTCATGAAATATACTTCATTTAAATTAAGGTAAAATTTTAACTTAGAAATGACCGTCGATCTAGACCCGTTCTTGTATAACGGGCTAATGTTCTAGTTTATTGGACAAAGGTAGAGCAGTTGTGTTATGTGAAACAGAAGAGAGTAACATGGGGATGTAAAGAGGAACTACATCTTGTAAAGTTTGACGTCGTGTGGAATAAGGTTTGAGTTTGAAGAAATAGAAGACGATGGGGAATTCCTTTTTAAAATATATTTGCCGATACATTAGGTAGATTTTAAAAGCTAAGTTTCCTGTTACTTCTCTTTTTATTTCTCAAGATTTCGGAGTTATCAGCCCTTCGACAGGAGTATCACACTAACTAAACGCCGACATATAGGATATATATTTATACACACACAAATGCTCATTATTATATTTACATATTTTAAAATATACATATGATATTAAGAAAAATTTATGTACAGTATTTGAGGTAATATATTTTTTACAAAATTCAAATAACAGTTTGAAAAATAAATATATATTAGAAATATTCAGGTTGAGAGAGAGAAATATATCATCTCATGAAGCACAAAACAACATTTTAATAAAGTTACGAACAATTTTTTATCAAGATTAATGCTGAATCCATGTACTGAATATAAATATACCAGGTCATTAAGGAGAATTGGGCAAGCAAGAGATCATTTTTGAAATCGTAAAATGACAATGAGGAAAGAAATAAAATGGGAATAATTCTCAAAGGAATGTCAAGGAACTAGCTGTCCTGCTACCACATTTTAAAGAGATTCGTTGAGAAAACCGAGAAGTCCGTCAGGCAATGTGGGTTGTTGTCTACTGTAGGCGGTCCTCGAAATGTAATATCAAGAAAACATCCAGACGAAAGGTAGCGCTTTGAATTGACAGTGGTTGAGGAATTGAAGAATAAATTAAGGAGAGAACAGGAACGTGAACAAGGAATCTCACACTCCGCTGTTGTCGATCAAGAAAGTGGAATTAGACCTACTGAGAAACCGCCACTAGAAATAAATAGTTCTATGACAGGTACCGTGGAAATCCCGCCACACTTTTAGATTAATACACTCATGGACACAACTTGAGGAAGTGGACCGGTATAGCCGGTCGTCTATTTTTTTTAAGGAGACAGGCGCAATTTTGTTCACACTTGGTTTATCTCGTGTGTCTTCAATAAAGATCACTGTGTATCAAATATATTTTAGAGTTATTGTCTGAATCTCGATATACATGCTAAAAGGTACAACTTCCTTAATGTGGATATTATTGTGTGGATTTAGAAATAACAAAATAATTTTATAGATGCGTTATGTTACATTTATTGAGTGTTATTTTAAAAATAATTATAGTGCCATTACACTACCTCTTGTATTGTGTGAAAAAAAGGGCCTTAAAATTGAACAACAACAAAAAAATAAAATGGAAGAGGAGGAAAAATTAAAAATTAAGTCTGTGTACCAAAAAGATCAAAATAAACATATCATATATAAATCAGGTATATCTATATTAAATAATTAAACCTCTTTTTAATTCGACACCCAAGGACTCTCTCCTGTATTTCCTGTTGAATTAAACTTATTAATGAATTATAGTTGGAAAATTAAAGTTGGTTCGTTAGGATTTAACTTACTTACAGTAAGTATTGAATTATTGTCGGTTGAATCAGAGAGAAGGATTACTGTATTTACAAGGTGGAAAATAAGAAAGGAAAATCCTAAGAATGGATCTTTAAGAAGTACAGTATCTTAAGAAAGTATAGAGAAGACCATAATTGTAGGTTGGATTTTGATTAATTCAAGCTGTAGACTCCTTCAAACTTAAAAAAAAAGTTTATGAAGTTTCAGCGACCTAATTTCGCCTTTTACAAAAGATGGAAGTGAAGAATAGATCGACCAAAGAAAATACTCGCTAATAAGCTTTTCATCTTTTGAAAGAGGCGATAGTGGGTCGCCGAAACAACAGGGACAATAAACTGGTTGTGATGGTGACTACAACTTGAATTAAGAAAGTACCTTATTTGTATATTTTTGATCCATTCACTTGTCTCTGATTAGGTAGTATACAATTGTTTGAACTGATTATACACACACAAACCTTTATTAAGACATTCTGTCTTATACAGAAGATTCTCCTGCTAGAAATGGATCTGAAAAGAAATGAGAAGCAGGGGAAGAAATTGAATCCTTGTTTAGAAAAGAGAAAAAGAAGAAAAGGAAAGAATATCTATGTCCAAAAGTCGAGACTATATACATCGCTTTTCGTGCATAGAACACAGTGAAGAAGTAGATTATTGAGTAAATGGTTGCATCTTGTGAAGAAAAAATGAACTAATCATACCAAAACATTTTAATAGCTTTATTTGGTAATTGACCCAAAAATTGAATTTATATAATGGTGTCCATGGAGTCAACTTTTTTTTTGTCTTTAGTAGTCTTTGTAGAATTTGCAAGGTAGAAATGTCATAATGGCAGAGTTGGTGATAATATTTAAGTTGGGGAAAAATTTGTCGTAAAATAGCAAAAATCGTTCTTGTTAGTGTTATATCACACTAGCGTTATATACAGGAAAATTATATAAAGACAATCAAGCTAGTATATTAGTCTGGGTAAATTGGAGGAAAAGAAATGGTACTTTCTTCGATATATCCTTTAAGCAATACAAAACATGAAGAGTCTACAGCACCCGGTGTTCCCAAGTACTGACCTCACCTAACATTGCTTAACTTCGGTGTTCGGACCAAAACCAGTGTTTTCAATGCGGTATTCTTACCACTGATTAATCTTTTTAAAAAATCAGTAATGGGATAGCATGGAAAGATCTAAATGATGGATATAAATGAAACATAAAAATCAATTGAAAAAATATATGTATAATTTATTTCTCTTTATTTTCGTGTGGCATATTACAATTCACACACACACACACTCGAGCGTGCGGCCACGCTTTCGCGAGCTCCGCCGTTTTCGCCTCTGGAGTGTGTGTCACTGGCGCTGACCCTGCCGAATTCGGTGTCAAAAGATATCCCTCGATCCGCTGATCAAGTGCCTGAAAGGCCCAGCACTGGATCGCAACCAGGCGAGGAATTTTCGCCAAAAAACGAAAATATGATGAGGATTACAAAAGAAATTTCTTCTGAAACTCAAAAAGATGCAAATCTGCCGGCAGGCGATATGCATGTAAATCTGGCCGCCGCGCGTGGTGACGTCACGACGCCGCCGACTGCTGCTTCGACCAGCGCTACAACACCTGAACCGACCTCGCTCAACTGGGTCGACAGCGAGATGGCGGAGGTGGACGCCAACGACGGCTACACCGTTGTGAAGAGCAAGAAAAGGCGCCTCACTTCAACGCCGGAGCACGCCGATAGGCAGCCTGGCAGGCCTGCTGAGAAGCCCAACCCCCAGCAGCGGAAGCGGCCAACAGGGCCGAGAGCAGTGCCGCCTCAGGAGATCAAGGCGACACGCGCCAACATCGCCGACGCCAAGGCGAGGCAGGCCACTACCAACCACGAGAACTACGTCTTCGTGGAGCTGTGCCCAGACATCCCGGACTACTCCTACCTCAAGGCAATGAGCACGCTACTCGGGGGGCCAAAAAACATCACGCAATTCAATCGAATGAACGGCCACTACATCGTGGGCCTCGCGAACCGTCTGGTCGCGGACGACCTGGAAATCGAGGGAGCGACCCTCAAGGTCTTCCCCTTCCGCAAGAGGGCGGAGGGCATAGTCGTGGCCAACCTGCCCGGCTTTGTGGAGGACAGCACCATCCCGACTGCCCTGGACCAATTTGGGAAGGTCACCTCCATCGCCCCCATCCTGATCAAAATGGGGGAGTTCACCTTCACCGACGGCCGCCGGGAGGCGTTCATCCTGCTACGCGAGGGCGTAAGGCTGGAGACGCTGCCCACCCGACTGACCATCCATTCCAAGGGAGACACCCTGTCAGCCTTCCTCTCATTTGGAATCAAGTGTTCCAAATGCGGAAAGCAGGGCCACCGGAGAACAAACTGCCCATCGCTCGCCAGGCAGAACAGCAGCCCCAGGCAAGCAACGTCTCCCACCGACGCAAGGCCCCTCCCCCCTCCTCCTCCTCAGCAGCAAAGGAGGCCGACACCTGCGCCCGCAACACCGGCGTCCCCTGTCCAACCGGCGAAGACTTCAACTGAGGCTCCAGTGACCCCCTCGGCGCCCCATCCTGCCGAACCGAGGGATCTTGCCCAGCCCGCCCCTGTCGCCCTCCCTGCTCCTCTGGCTGCCCCGCGGCCCCCCGAGCCCGAGACCTTTCCGCTCGAAATTGAGATGTCGGAGGAGGAGCTGACCTCAACTCCCTCCGCGTCTCCCCGGGGAAAACCCGCACTCGTCCAGCTGCAGGAGCACCTCAAACAGTCCCCCAACCTCTCCATCGACTGGGACAAGCTGCCCGGTATAGACCGGGAGGACGCAAAGCAGCTACTCACCTCTAAAAGAAAAATGGAGAAGCGAGTGCCTTCGCTGACAAAAGCACAGGTCGCCGCCCTCGACGAGGTGGCCGAAACCATCAAGGCCTCGATTCCAGACTCCAACCACACCATCCGCAAGACCCTCCAGAAGACCAAGGGGGTGCTGCTTAAGGGAGGGCAACAATGAGCAACCGTCTCGCCAACATCAACGCGCGAGGCCTTGCCACTCGGGGGAGGAGCCTTGCCCTTTGTCATCTCCTCAGGCAACATCGCTTGGACATCGCGTTTGTCTAGGAAACAAACGCATTTCATCTGGGCAGCGGCCAAGACCTCTGCCTCGGCTACAACGCTGTTGTACTGGCCCATCCCGTAGCCATCTCGGGATCCGGACTCGCCTGCGTCTTCGGACCAGGCGTAGCAGTGCTACAACAGCGCATCCTGTGGCCGGGCCACATCGCCTTGGCTATAGATGTCCACGGCGAGGAGATGACGGCCATCGCCGTTCATCTGGCGCATGAACCCCGGGAGAGAAACCGGCAACTGGAGCTCCTGGCGGCGACAGCGGCACAGGAGGAGGCCTGCTGGATCATCGGCGATTTTTATATCAGGGATCGGGGCCCCTCATCATCGTCATCGTCGGATGCCCTCGCCGCTCTTCTGGACCTGGCCGCGCTGGTCGACGTGGCCACCCAGTTCGTCGCCGCCCACCTGCCCACCAGAGTCGCCATGCACGGCGACCAAGTCGAATCCAATCGCCTGGACCGGATCCTCGTCCCTGCTGGAGTCCTGGATCGCGTGTCCATCTACGCGACCAGCCACTACCACCTCTCGGACCACCGCCTCGTGCTGCTCCAGGTGGGCCCGCCCACCACCGCCGTCTCCTCCCCCAACCAGCCTCGCTTGGCCGTGATGCTCCGCTCGGGCCTCGTTCTCGATCATCTGGCTGGCTACATCCGTGAGCTCGAGGAAGAAATGACGCACGATGACGACGACGTGATCCTATGGGACAGGTGGACCACCATCAAGGCGGGACTGCTGGCGGAGGCCAGATCCCTGCACGATCCGCGCCACGCTGCCAGCGACAGCTACATCTACAGGGCAAGGCGCTATATCGCGGCGCAGCTCGAGGCCTCCTCCATTCGGGTCGACTACCCGTCGCTGCCAGACCTGGCGCGCGCCATCCGCCTCAGACGCCTGTTCAGCGTCATCAGGGACGAGCAGGATAACATCATAGAGGGCCCCGAGCTTCGGCGGAGGGCGTAAGCGATCTTCCAGCCCCGCTTCGCCCGTCCAACCAGCGATCCAGCTGCCGGAGCTGCCTTCATCGCCAGCAGCGCGCCCACCACCACCCGCGAGCTGAGTGAGGAGGACCCGCTCCACTGGCCGGACATCAGCCCCAGCGAGATCGCCAACGCTATCGAGCACCTCCCTCGCTGAAAGGCCCCCGGCTGGGACGGCCTGCCGTGCGAACTCCTCGTTGCCTTCAACGAGGACTTCGTCGCGAAAGCTCTGGCCCGGGTGTTCACGGCTCCGCGGTGCCCTGCCTCAGTCGACGCGGCGCAGCTCCATCTGCCTCGTGCCCAAGGCCCGCGGAGGTCGCGGCCTTGATGGCTACAGGCCCGTCGCGCTGCCCTCGGCCGACTACAGGGTCCTGGCCGCCATCCTTCACCGGCGCCTCAAGCCCCACCTGCGGACCCTTGTGCCGGAATGCCAGACTTACGCCGTCCCCGGGAGGTCCCCGTCATGGAACATCGCCATGGTGACGGACGCCGTCGAGGAGGCCACCGCCCTGGGCTCGCCGCTGGCCGTCATGGGCGTAGACCTGGAGTCCGCCTTTGACTCACTAGACCGCGGCTTCTTGGAGTCCGTGCTAACGTCCCTCCGCCTCCCTCCGGCCTTCAGGTCCTGGATTAACATCCTCTACGCCGGGGCGGACGCCACCATCCGGGCCGGAGGCTTCTACACCACCGCCTTCTTCCTCCTCAACGGCCTAAGACAGGGTTGCGCCGTGAGTGCCGCACTCTTCAGCATCGCCACGGGGCCGCTGCTACGTCGCCTGAAGTTGACCCTCGGCGTGGGCAATGTCATCGCCTACGCCGACGACATCGTCCTCCTATTCCATCGCGACGGAGACTTCGAACGGGTGGCGACCGTCTTCGAAGAGTACAAGCAGGCCTCCGGGGTTGGCGTGAACCTCCGAAAAGCGCTGGCCTCTGGTGCGGCGCCTGGCGCAACCGCGGCGAATCCCCTCTCGGCGCCTCCTGGTCGACCGCCTCCATCAGGATCCTCGGGCTCGACATCGCCCCCAGGAGCACCGTCGCCCACCGGGAGCAGCATCTCCTGACCCTCCTGGAGACTGTGTGCCGCAGATGGACGCCCTTCACCCGCGGCATCTCCCGCGTCGGACGAGCAAGAGCGGCGAACACGCTGGTGGGGTCCACGATCCAGCACCACCTGCATGGATACCTTCCATCACCCCCGACCATCGCCAAGCTGCAGGCCCGACTGGCGAGGTTCGTCTGGGGGCCAGACCACACGGCGTGGCTTCCCGCCAACGTCATGGCGAGGCCGGTCACCATCGGAGGCCTCGGCCTCCTCGACCTCGCGACCCAGCTCGCCTGCCTCAAGGGGGTGCGCGTCGCGCTCCGCGGAGGCAGAAATGCCTTCAGCTGGCTGATCGGCGGCAACAGCGGTGAAGCCTGGATCCACCCTCCACCGGACGGCACCCGTCTCCAGCCCCGCCGTCTCCGGCTGCAGAAGTTCTGGGAGGAGGCCTCCAACATCCTGGGCCTCAACCACCGGGCGGTCCCCACTGCTCAGCTGCTGGACCTCCCCATCATCGGCGGCTGCCGGTTCCTCCGCCCTCCCGACCTCCTGGCCCCCGCCCGCTGGCGCGGAGCCCGAGTCCGGGACCTCACCGTGGAGGACCACCTCACCGCCCGACCTACGCGCTCGGCCCTGGCTGACGCCGCGGCCCTGGGCGCCTTCTGTCGGAGGCTGACCTCCGAGAACGCCGTGGGCTTCGGGGCGGAGTCCACGCCTTCATCTAGCTCCCTAGTTGCGGCCGTGGTGCTGCGGGGGACGGCTACGCCGTTCCTCAACGGCCTCACGACCCGCTCGGCCCGACGGGCCCTGGATCGCCCGCGCCTCGCCGCCACGTCCATATCAAGGTTCACCTCGAGATGGTCGCCCACCATAGGTCCACCACCATCTAGGATCGACTGGGCCTCGCTGCGGCGCTGCGCCTTCTCGGGCCACGAGGCCGACGCGGCCCTCAAGTTGGCCCTCCACGCCCTGCCCCATCCGGCTCATCCTGCCTCGGTCGGCC